AGTAGGGATGTTATAGTTTCAAAAATAACCGTTAAGACTTAGTTCAAATAGAAGTTCTAGTTAATTATGGTTCTGGTTAAATACGGTCCTGGTTAAGTATAGTTCAAGTCCAAATTTCAGGTTAAAGAACGGTTCAATCTGATTTGTATGATATCATTGATTTTATCATTGATCTAGAAGTTAATTACGTTAGTAAATTTAATTTGCATAATTTTTGCAATGATTAATTTAAAAGTTTATTACATATTTTGTTTTGATTAAATTGCTAATAAAAAGCCTCAAAAAGAGAAGTTTGATCTTGTAATTTCATTTTCTTGAAATTATATATTCTTTTAAAAATAACCATATCGACTATTTAAAATGAACTCCTTTGAAAATTCAACTTTGTATTTGGACGAAATTACAAATATCAATATTGATACGCAAGTTCAAGTAAACAATCAAACTTCTGATCAAGCCACTTTACCAGATTTATATGTATCCTCAGTTTGGGATTATTATGATAAAGAATCATCTGAACATCCTAACCAGCCCATTTGTAAGGACTTACAATGTGGCAAAGTTTTTTCAACCAAAACAGAAGTATCTACTTTACGTCGACATCTCAGAATTCAGCATAGTATTGATCTTCTAGTGAAACAACGTAATTTAACAAATCATAATCGTTATAATCCCTATAGAGGCAAAGAAAAAGTTGACCGTGATAATTTGTTAATTACTTGGCTTATCGTAGATCAGCAACCTTTTACAGTTGTTGATAATATTTATTTTGTAAATTGGATTAGAAAACTTGATCCACGTTATACTTTATCAATACGTCAAGCCACAAAGCAAATGATTATAGATGAATTTAATTATCGACGAGAAAGAATTCATCTTGATCTAGCAAAAATTTCTGGAAAGGTTTCATTAACTGTGGACATGTGGACAGATATTAATAAAGAGGCATTCTTAGGATTAACAATTCATTATCTTGATGATAATTGGAAACTTTGTGGATTTTTACTTGATATTATTCCATTTAAAGTTCATCATACAGGGATTAATATAGCACAAGCGATTACTAATATATTAGAAGAATTTAATCTTCACAACAAATGTGTAGCCCTTACAACAGATAATGCATCATCAATGATTGCATATAGTCGTATTTTAGCTAGTGAAATTGAAAAAGAATTTAATAACTTGTCATTTTCTCACTATTGCTGCGCCACTCACGTGTTGAATTTAGCAGCTAAACAGGGCCTCGAACTAGTTTCTAGCTCAATAGAGAAAGTTCAAAATTTGATGCTTAAAATTAAACATTCAACATTATTATGTACTGAATTGGAAGGTTTATGTGAAATCAAAAAAATTAAATATTTAAAGCCTGAAATCGATATTGATATCAGGTAGAATTCGACACATGACATGCTAAAAAAATATGAAAAAATGGAAGTTGCGTTACTATTATTATCAACGACATGTCCAGCAATTAAAGAATTACTTCCAAACGATGATGATAAAAAGCAAATCCAGGTATATATTTTAAATAAGAATTATTTATTATCGTTATTAGAAAATATTAACTTTAATTTATAAATTTAAAGGATACTCTTTTATTATTGGAACCATTAAAAGTTACAACTGAGTATCTTTCGTCGGCTTCATATCCTACTCTTGCTGACGTCCGATTTTACTTTAATGAAATTCAAATGAATCTTGATTTTTATATTGGGCAAAATAATTTTACACAATCTGAAATTGCCGCTTCTATCTTTCAGAAAATTGATGAATATTCATCATTAATGGATGCAACATCAGTAATATCAACTATCCTTGATCCTCGTACAAAGTTAAATGCATTTCATAATAATGAAATTCAAGATGCAAAACAACAAGTACTCAGGTTGATGGATCACTATCAAAATGAATCATTTGAATCATTTACTGCAACACCAGCAAAACCTTCTACTAATAATTCCAAAAAAACACGGGAATATTTTCGTGGACTTAGAAATCAAGCATATGCGCAGCCAAGTTTTTTACAAAACAAGTCTCCAACTCAAAAAAATCATACAGAGTTGGAAATATACCTTGCAGAACCGGTTGACGAAGAGAATGATGATCCAGTTTTATACTGGAAAACTAGTTGTCATAAATTTCTGATTTTATCGAGAATGGCATGTGATTTCCTGTCCATACAAGCAACAAGTGTTGCAAGTGAGTGAATGTTTTCAATGGCTGGCCATACTATATCAAAAACAAGAAATAGAATACACCCGGAAACTGCCAGAGCATCCTTGTGTGTCAAAAGTTGGATTCTAAATGGAATTGGTGATCAATAACGATAGGTGTACCGGTTTGACATAACGATAAAATATAATTACAGTTTAACCTCCTCACATATAAGGACATCCTATGAAAATTCTTTTTATAAGCAAATTATGATAAATGTAGAAAGAAAACCTTTATACGATTACAACTTTTATAAGCACATTTATAAGCACACTTTTAAGTACTCTTTAAAAAAAGTTATGATCCCAATAGTGTATTGTAGAAAGGTTAGACTGTAAATTAATAAATAGTAAAAAAAACAATTTATTGTTATAAGACTGTAATAAATATGCATAACGATAGTGGTGATAATATTAAAATAATAAATGCTCTATTTTAAATATATATGAAATCGATTGTATTATTTAAAAATATTGTACATAAATCGTAACAATTCCATTAGTCTAATAACAGGTCCCAATTACATGGTCCTAGTCCGGTCTGGTCCATAAATTAATAGTTAAAATGTATAAACGGTCTTTTATTAACCAGACGAACTAGACTGGA